CCCTGGTGGTCCAGTGGTTAAGAATCTGCCTGCCAGTCCAGGGGACACAGGTCTGATCCTGTGTCCAATCTTCAGTCCAAGAAGATTCCACATGCCATGGGGCAACTAAGCCTACGCGCCACAACTACTGAACCCATGCTGTAGCACCTGTGCTCTGCAACAAAGCCACCGAGAGAAGCTACCACAATGAGAAGCCCACACACCTCAAGGAATAGTAACCCCCACTGGCTGCAAATAGAGAAAGCCCAGGCACAGCAAGGAAGACCCAGCACAGCCAAAAGTAGTTAATTTAAAAAAAAAAAAAAGAGCCATAAATGTTCAATATCCTAGAGCAAGGGAGCCAGGGTCCACAGAGGAAATCTCTTAGAGCTGCTGAGAAGTCAGGACTGCATCCCGAGGGCCACCAATGCCACCACCTCCCTGTGACAGCCGCCTCAGGCTGCTAATCTCCATCACTTTCCCTCTTGAGTCCCGACAGGGTCTCCAAATTCTCAGTAGCATGTTTATGTGGAGTTGTCCCATGAGTGAACACCTCTTTGTCATTCCGCATGTAGGAACAAGCCCTGGGTGGGTTCTGAGCAGCGGAGTCATGTGATCTTGTGTTTGCGGAAGAACACAGTGCTGACTCGAGAAGGCAATTACCGGAGTGGTAGAGCAGGAAACGCTGGAGGACAGGGAGGGGCAGTGGGTAGGACGCTCAGGCTGGGAGCACGGTCAGATGCGGACAGTGAGGAGGAGCCAGCTTCAGTTCAGAGTCTACAGGAGAATCTTAGCCTCGTGTACAGTGCTGTCCCCGGGAGAAGGAGCCAGGGGTGGGCCACTAGAGCAGCTGGGTTTGCCAGGATGGAGGAGATGTGGGGAGTCCGGGCCCCTGAAAGGTGTCATTTTCTTTCCTAGCTATCTGTACCTGTCTGAAATGAGGCGGGATAAAATAATACATGCCCTCTGTCCTAAAAGTGCTAAGTGGATGCTGTAAGGAAAACTAGAGAGCTGACCCTGTCTCCCTTCTGCCAGTCTAACCTGTCCAAGCCTGAGATATTAATATCTTGCCATCCCACCTAGGAGGCAAGATGGTCCCTGGCTTCTGACTGGGACCAGGCTCGGAGGCCACTGTATCCAACACAAACAAACTGCCATATCCGCCTTGCTCCAGTTCCCAGACCCCCCTCCCCCACCCCTGCCTCTGCTGCTGGGCTTCCCTGGACCCCAGTGCCACACACAGACTGTGGAAACAGTTGGGAAATAGGAGCCATTAAGGAAAACAACCGCTCCCTGCCCAACCAGCTGCCCACCAGCTGCCCAGGCCTCCCTCAGCATCCTGCACCCGGGGCCCAGCCCCATTCCTTCCCAGACAGCCAGCTGAGTTCCAAGCCCTCGCCCTCCCACCTCCCACTCAGAAGCAGTGGCAACACCCCAGTCCTGGGATGAAATGACCATGGGAGAGCCCTGACATCGACTCAGACCCCAGAGGGGCCTGGGCTTCTGCAGCTCTTGCCCTGAGTGTCTGGATCGCGTGATGGCAGCCGAGAGCTTGAGCAGGTGGGTGAGGACAGGATTCAAGGGACTGTTGATGGTAAGGTGTCTGGGAAAGGGCTTGTCTCAAAGAAGGAGTCTCACCTAGGCCTCGTCCATTAGCCAAGCCCCTGTGTCTGTGCCCCCTTCCACAGACCAAGCCCTGTGTACCCTGAGAGCTAGGAGCCAGGACAGCTGGAACGAAAGGATGCAAAGCCTGGGAAATTCTTCTGAAAGCCTGGCACTTGCTCAGGAATAAGGTACAGATTGAGTGCAGATGTCTGTGGAGCCAGAGCAACAGGGCTTTGCTTTTACCAGGAGGCTTCCTTGGGGATGAGGGTGGAGTGGGGAGGTATCCTAGTATGAGGCTGCAGAGTGCAGCATGTCCCCCACCCCCATCCCCAGCCTTAAGGAGCTGCCGAAGATGGGATGAGGGGAGCAGATGCTACACTAGAGACTCAGGCTCAGGAGGAAGTGGAGGGTTGGAAAAAGCAAAGTTTTGCGGGCCCGTGTACTGTCTGGCGCGTGCAGGTTCCTGCACAGAGGAAGCCCACTGGCTGTCTGCCCTCTCCCTGAGGAATGTCGCCTGCAGCCAGGCTTAGATCACCAACACAGCTTCCTAACAGGTGTGAAACTCCAGAACTTGGTGACCAAAGCAGAGCTTGGCGTCTCAGCTGAACACAGTACTTCTCAGGTGCAAGAGGAGCTCTGGGTGGGGGTCCTTAAAGTGGGGCTCTAGCACCTGCCAGACAGCCCTTCCCAGATTGATTTGAAGATTTTCCAAGAGATTCATGGCCAGCAGAGGGCACCACTACCCCACCGTAGAGCATCCTGGGCTCCCCATTGCCTCCCTGGAGGAACTGGGAAGATTGGGAGGAGGTAACAGGCATGGATGGATCTCTGAGCTCTCAGGGGGAGCTACCAGCCGCTGAATTAAATAGTCTCCAGAGCCAGAGAGCTGGGCTCTTGTGGGTTCTAATGCTTGTTCTGCCACCATCTTTCCCTCCCCGCTTCAGTTTGCTGCCTCCATTGAATGAGGGTTTGGTTCACCTGGTGTCCACTCTGGACCACAAGGCCCTTTTCGGCTCTGAACTAGGATTTGAGGAAGTCATGTGAGGAATGTGACAGAAATTGCATCTTCTGGGGCCACCTTTACTCTGGGGTTCTCCAGAGCGCCCTGCCTGGCAAGAGGCAGAAACTTGAGTTTCACTTCTCTGGTGCTGTTCCCTGTCCCTTGAAGGCGGAGAGGCAGACTGGCCTGGATGCTGACGGAAAGGCTCTGTCTCCACGTCAGTCTGAAGAAGGACTGTCTCAACAGGGCTTGCGGACACCGATGCTGTGACACCCATGGCATCTGCTCCCCCAGATTTTAGGCAAGGTGTCCCTTAGGTACCACTGTGGGATAGGCGGGGTGGTAGTACAGAAGCACTCATAAGACACCCTTTTGAGAGCCCCGTCAGAGATAGGCAAGGAGTGAAGAGAATAGAAACCATTGCCTCTCCTGCCTTCGCTCGCCTCCCCATCCCCACCCCCACCACAGATGCTGTCTGTCAGGAGCAGGCAGCAGACGGTCCAGGGGTCCATCTGTGCTACTGCTTCACAATAGAGCCCCGTGTTTCCCCACCAACGCCCCCTCGGCCCCTCAACTGATGGCCACTTGGTGGTGCCAAGGGGGAAGGTGGGAGGAGGCAGAGGAAGGCTCTAAGGGAGCTGGTACTTGGCTCCTGGCCGTCCCCAATCCACCCCTGCCCCCCACCCAACAAGCATCCTGCCATCTGGACTTGTGTAATCACTGCGGGGTGGAGAAGCACCCCCTCTCGCCCACGCCTCCTGCAGGGGCTGGGGCCCCAGGGGCCTGGGGTTGGGGGAGACAGAGGCAGGAGACTAGGAAGCAAGAAGATGGAGACAGACCCGTGGACGGAGAGACACAGGAGACAGAAAGCCTTTCCTAACCTTCCCAGGTTGCTGGGTCACTAGCCCCTCTGTGCTCTGCATGCCATGCATCTAACACAGCCCTGGTGTGTGCATCACTCCCTGCTGACCAAGAGCCTCTGTGACCTGGCCCGGAGCAGGGCTTCAACCTAAGGTGAATGAAGAACAGCAGAAGACTGCATCACACAGTGGGTAGATTGCAGGCTCTACAGGCTGCCCAGGTTTGAATCAGCTCTGTCACAGAGTGGCCTGGAGCAAGTTACTTGACCTCTCTGGGCCTCAGTTTCCTTCTCCGTAAGATATGATAATGGTATCTCTTTCATAGGGTTGTTACGAAGACCAAACAAGTTCATTCATGGATGTAATACACAGAACAGTGTGCACAGCACATGGTAAATGCTTCATAAATGTCAGCTATTAATATAAAGGCATAACACAGATTTGGGAACACTGGAGGAGGGGACAGATGAGGACAGTGCATTCCTGGCTTCTGTTTAGCGGCAGACGTCGGGATGTGGAGCCCTCAGCTTGCAGTGCTGACGCCCTGTGGTGGCTGGCCACTCTTCAGACGCCAGGCCTGACCTACCACTTCCTCCTCTCACTTCTTATTCAGGTACCACTGACGACAGAGACTTCGGCTGGGCCATTCCCACGTCTCCCATAGGCTGGCAGCCACAGACAACACAGCAGAGGGTGGGGGGGAGATGGTCCCCAAGAAGGGTCAGAGAATGGTTGAGCACAAACCCCCAATCCTGAGCACCCCCTCAGCGCACCATATGCCCTGCCATGAGTCAGCCCTACAGTAAGCATCTGTCTGCTGGAGAAAGGTTACCTGATCTCCAACATCAGGAGGTGAGGCTGACGGGCCAGAATTCAGCCTACTACTTTCTGGGTTTCCCTCTCTTCCCTTTTCCCTTGACCTGGGAAGGAGAGGCAGCTGAGCTATGTAAAGAGGAAACCCTGGACCCTTTCACCCCCTAGTGGCTTCTACACAGCTACTTCAGGGCCATCTTTTTCCTCCTGCCAGAGACCTCACCCCTCCCTCTGCCTCCTTCTCCTAGCCTAAAGTCTCCTGCAGCCCCCTGGGTCTTCTCAAATCTTACTCTGGGCCTCCAAATCTCCTTCTAAAGACTCCTTACTGTCACTCCACCGCCAGACTCCTCGAATCTCTGAAGACATCCATCCCTAACTTTTCAAATCTCGTGCACAAGCCCCTTCACAGGCTCCCCGTCCCTCAGGTATCATAGAGACCCATACTCCGCCCCAGGATGCCCTAGCCCGCCCCCACCCCCTTTCCGCGGCTAGCTTTTTCCCCTACCGGCGTTTGAGGTCCCCAAGAGCTTCCCCGTCTAGGCAAGCCTCAGGAGCTGTGGGCGGAGCTCCGGAGCAGTGGGCTCCGCCCCGGGGGCGGAGCCAAACGCGCAGGGGGCGAGGCCGCTCCCTGCCCGCAGCTCCCCGCCCGCCCCACCAGCCCGCCCCGCTCCCCGAGCCTATAAAGGGAGGCGACCCACCACCCTCCAGGCTGGCATCCTAGAGCCACCGCCAGCCCCGCCGCGCGGAGAGAGCGCCGCCAGAGAGGGGCGCCGGAGCCATGACCCTTCGCCGACTCAGGAAGCTGCAGCAGAAAGAGGAGGCGGCGGCCGCCCCAGACCCCGCCGCTCGGGCTCCTGACTCGGAAGCCGCTCCCGCTGCTCCGACCCCGACCCCAGCCTCGGGCCCCCCTGCTGCAGCCGCCAGCCCTGGGACCCCCGGGGACGAGCTGTACGCAGCGCTGGAGGACTACCACCCCGCCGAGCTGTATCGCGCGCTCGCGGTGTCCGGGGGCACCCTGCCCCGCCGAAAGGTGCGTACCTCCCCAACTCCCGCGGACCCCCTCGGCCCCCGGTACCCTGTGGTGTCCCTTTCTCAAGACCAGAGCTACCCGCCACAGTCCCCATGGACGCCTGCCGATCCCCACCCACACCATGCTCCTGGGGTCCCCGAGTCCCCCAGTTCCTCCCCCGCCCTCTGACCCCCACGGACACGTTCAGATCCTGCTGGGTCCCCTCGACCCTCTGCCCGGAAGGCGCAAACTAGCCCCTCCCCGGCTCCACGCCGCTCGCGAGCTGGGTGGCTCTCCACTCCCCACGCGACGCCGCCCGGTCTCGCTGCTCTCCCTGCTGCTTCCCCGAGTCCCCTTCCCCTCGCCCCAGCTGGCCATCGGCACCCCGCCCCAGCCCCGCCTCCCCGCGTCCAGGAGTATTGAGGTCCCCAGGATCCCCCCGCCCGGGCTTCTCCCGTGGGAGCAAGAGGCCTCGAGCTGGGGTTCCGCCGCTAGTCCAGTCAAGTTGAGAGTCCGCGGGCCCGGGGTGGGACTCTCGCCGAGGAAGTGCCCGCGGCGCCGCCGATTCTGAGAGCTCACCCTTCCGAGGGGGCGCCGGGATTCCTGGGCTCAGCCGCCTCGCCCTACTTCTGAGGTGCGGGGCACGAGGCCACGGCTCCCTGGACGTCAGCCGCGACCGGACGCGGTGGGAGGGGTCGCAGGGCGCCCGCTGGGCAGGAAGGATGCGGGCCGCGCCCGCCCTCGGAGTCTCCCCCTCCGCCGGGCTTTTCCTCTGGCCCGAGGGGGACTCGAGCGCTCAGAAAGAAAACTCAAGACTCAGGTTAAGGAGAGGGGACTGGTGGCCTTTCCCAGCTCAGCCCCCCTCCTCTTCCTCTGGCCCCTGGCTCCCCCCCAACACAATGAACAGCTTGTTGAGAATTTGCATTTTATGAAAATCGGGTGGAAAGACAAAGGGGTCTCTCTATGCTGCCCAGTCCTTCCTCCTTGGCCCGTTTGGGAACTGTCCCCACCCTTGAGGCCCGTCTGTAAGGTTCTAGAGAAGGAGGGCTTACTTCTCTTCCTGGCCTCGGGGTAGCCTGGGGGGAGGGTTAACCAGTGCACTGACCAGGAAACTCCTGGGTTGTTTGGGGCACACGGGACAGGGGCTGGTCTGGAACTGGGCTTCTTCCAAGCATCAGTCATTTAGGGAGGGAAAGACACTGCTTTAGTTTCTCAAGGACTCAAAAGAGGTAGGGTTCCCTCAGCTCTGTCATCCCTCACACCAAAAACCAAACGAAACCAACCAAACAGCAATGATAACAAAACCTCCCCATCTCTCTCCTTGAGTGCAGTGAGACTTAAGAACAAGTCTGAGATCTAAGTTTTTGTTTTGTCCCAGAAAGCTGCAACATGTATCACAATGCTGAGACCCAGGTAGAGCTGGGCACAGCTGGCCATCTGCAGCTGGACTGCATAGTTTGAGGGAAGGGGCTTGGCCCCTCTATCCCCCACCTTTCCATGATCAAGCTGAGATTCCAGCCCTCTAGACCAGGGCCCCTGACCCCAGCTCCTGCAAGCCACTCTTTGTGACTGAGAAATTAGGAGAGATCTGACTGGCCTTGGGGCTCTGAAATGTCTTGATAGACAAGCCCAGGGGCCCCTGCCCTTCTCTGAATAATATCTCTGAAAAATATCTGAATAGGAAGAGCCCTTGCTTCACCGTTTGGGGTCTAGGATGCCGAGCCCCTGCAGACATGCACTCTGGGGGCAGAGGCTATTTTACCTAGAGTCATGAAAACTCCCACCCCCTCCAGACTAGGAACCAGGACAGGACTTAGAGGTTCATGCATCTGGAGCCCAGGAGATTGTTGTGTTCCCAAGGTCCCAGTTGTGGGGATAAAGCTTAGGGAGAAAGCTGTGGAGTGATACTGGTGGTGGCACTCTGCAGGGTTAGTTACCCCAGCACCAGAGCAGGTATGGAGCTGGAACAGGACAGATAGGCAGCAGGAAGTGAGATGCTGGGTCTAGGACTTGAGCCCAGGTGAGGAACCCCCCAAAGGAGGGCTCTCAGCATCTGCTCCAGGACACCTCCCTCTCACCTGCTTCTTCCTGACTCTCCTTCCCACCCAGGGCTCAGGATTCCGCTGGAAGAACCTCAGCCAGAGCCCTGAGCAGCAGCGGTGAGTCACCATTACCCCCGCCTCTGCCCTGGTCCAAAGGATGCGGTGCTGGGGAGGGGGCAGCATGACACAGCATCGCAGCCCACCCAGGGGGAGTCACGCTCCCACCCTTTCAGCACGGTGCCCTCACCAGGAATGAGGGGCAGGTGGGGGTGTGGGCTGTGTGAAGGGGGTGGCGGAGGAAGGAGGGAGGGACTTTTGAGTCATCAGGTGCTCCTTAAACCACCCCCAGTCCCTGCCAGTCACCCCTCCCTGGAGAAATCTGGATCTGGGAGCAGGGAAGCAGGAGAAGTTTGGGGGGCTCCCCTGGGCCTTCCCAGCCCAGCAAACCCTGAAGGCCCAAACCATGGCAAGCTGCATCCAGCTGCTCGACTCTCTGGCCCTGCACCCAAAACCTCAGTGCTCTGCTGGTCCCATCCGTGGTGGCCGCTAAGGAAGGGCCTGAGGTGAGGGCAGAAGGACTAGCCCTACTGTGCCTGTGTCCCATCCTGATGTGAGCCTGGTTTCTGCAATGGATCAGCAGACTGTGGCCTGCTGGCCAGACTGGCCTTGAGCTGAGAGTTGTTTTGATATTTCTAAAGGGTTGTAAAAATAAAGACAAAGAACAATATAGGACAGAGGCTGTCAAATAATTCAGGTCTCGAAAGGCTGAAATATTTACCGTCTGACCCTTTGCAGAAAAACTTTGCCAACCCTTTTAGAAAAGCAGACAGCACTGGAATAAACACAGTCACCCTGCCCCCCACCCCCACCCCCGGCCGAATACACACAGAGGGGGAAAGGCCTGCTTTCAAAGCAGGGAGGAGCTCGCGCTGGGGTAGGGAGTTGCCGATCAGCATTTGTGGGGGTATGTGGGTCAGGCTGGGCACCGAGAGGCCTGGGTCTCCAGGGCCTTGCTGAGGCCGAGAGGCTTGAAGGGGCCTTTGGAGGCTGCTTCAACTCGGCTTCTGGCGGGGCGGGAAGGAAGGGGGTGGGAGTGGGCAGAGGAAACTCTGGGCTCCCCCAGCAGGCGAGGATCTGGAGCTGCTCCAGACCATTGTGTCCAGTGGGCAGGCCTTCAGTGCGGGAAGGGGCGGCCTCGAGGCTCCCCTCCCCCCAGCCCTCACATCTGGTGGGCTGGCCTCACCACTGGGAGGAGCCGCTGGGGTCCGGGCTGAGCCTCGTGACTGGCCTCTGGGGGTGGGGCCAGCCCTCTCCCCAAGGCTCTGGAGCAAACAGCGCTCCAGGCTGTCTGGGGCCGAACTGGGGGCCGAACTGGGGGCCTCGGCTAGTCAGTCAGTAGTATTCTGGGGCTCACTAGGAAGCTGGGAGTGTGGCCGAAAAACTCAGCTAGTTCAACTGGCTCTGGGGGCTGGCCATTGCAGTGTGTTCCCCACCAGAGGGGATTGATTTTGTGTGGCTTGATGAAGCTGATTTCAGTATGGGGAAAGACATCCCGACAGCCTGGGATGAGTGTGGCTTGTCATTGGAGACAGTGAGCCCTGCCTGGATGTTCCAAGAGCAGACTCTGGCATCAGCAGAGGGCCACATTATGGGCCCGCCAGGCTCCTCTTTAATCCTGACGGACTTGATGAGATGGCCCCTGTGTCTCCTGCAGGAAAGTGCTGACTTTGGAGAAGGAGGAGAACCAGACCTTTGGCTTTGAGATCCAGGTGGGAGAAGCTGGGTGCAGAGGGAGGGAAGGGTTGGGAGGCTGGTCTGAGGGACGGCTGGATCCTGCCCCACCCCTGGGCTGAGGGTCCCCTTGCCTGTTACAGACTTATGGCCTTCACCACCGAGAGGAGCAACGCGTGGAGATGGTGACCTTCGTCTGCCGGGTTCATGAGTCCAGCCCTGCCCAGCTGGCGGGGCTCACACCAGGTGGGGCCGAGCCCAGGACACGGGGCAAGCAGAGGGGGCAAGAAATCCAATCGGTTCCCCTTCCTCCTCCTATTTAGAGAAGGCCAGAAAGAAGAATGAGTTGGATCAAGGCAAATTTACCATTTACTGTATGATCTTGAATATTCCCATCTGTACAGTAACATGTTACAGTAACATGGGGCAGTAACATGTCCTCACATCAGTGTGGTAAGGGGCTTTCCCGGGCACAAAGCCAGGGCCTGCCTGGTAAATGGCAGATGTTGCCACGGCTATTCTGGCTCCTCCTGGCGATCTGGCAACCCAGCATGGGCAGGAGTCGGGGAGAGAGCAAGTCCATCTTGTTCCCAACCTGGCCCAATACTGGGGTACCCGTGATACTTCCTCTAACAAGGACATGGTGCTGCCAGTAGGAGACCTTTGGGACTGGCCAAATCTAGAGCCCCAAGTCCCAGGAAGGGGCAGCCTGAGACTGCACAAACTGACCCCCACCCCTCCTACCCAATCCTATCACTGTTTTCTTCCTGAAGCCCTCATCTCCTTGCCCATTCACCAGCAGCCTCTGGTAGCTAAGTGGTGTACTGCAACTTTGCAGGGTAGTTTCACATCCCCATGGTAGCCACCACAGGGGTCCACACTTCCTTTTCCAACTGGGCAGTGGGTCCTAAGAGAGGGTGGTCTGCTCTGCTGGAGGTCAGGAGGCTCTGCAGCAGCCTAGGGTGCCAGAGGTTGAGGCCTCAAGCTTGGGGGCCAGTGTTAGTTCCCGGTGTGGTGCTCCTCACCCTCCTGCCTTCCTGTCTCAGCTGGGTCACGCTGGTGGCAGCCTGTGGGCTGGACCGAAATAACCAGCTATGGGGGAAGCCCAGGCTTGTTGGAAGGGCCCAGCCTTTGGGGACAGAGCTTCCTGAGAGTGAGATGTGGATATGGGTGTTTGAGGGCCCTGGCCCCCATGCTAGGGTGCCAGGTCTGGACAAGATTGCCCCAGAACCATGAGCGGAGGTGGGGAGCTCAGGAGAGTTCTCTGGGGTTTGTGGTGAAGGTAGGGGGCTGGAATTTTTCCGCATGCCCAGTGGAGTAAATGCTGATCCCCTCTCTGCCTGGCAGGGGACACCATCGCCAGCGTCAACGGCCTGAACGTGGAAGGCATCCGACACCGGGAGATTGTCGACATTATTAAGGCGTCTGGCAACGTTCTCAGGTACATCCAGGTGCTGTGGTCCCTAGGGGATTCCTGAGCCCAGCCTTTCTTCCCCACCCTGTGGGCCCACTCATTCTTTGATTCCCCTGCCTTCTCAGACTGGAAACTCTGTACGGGACATCAATCAGGAAGGCGGAACTGGAGGCTCGTCTGCAGTACCTGAAGGTAAAGCAGCCTGGAAACCATCCAGCCGCCAGGCTCCTCTTCCCAAACCCCTGCCCCTGCAGGTCCCACTGGTTTTTTGTTTTTTGGTTGTGCTGGGTTTTAGTTGTGGCATGTGGGATATTCATTGTGGCATGCAGGATCTTTAGTTATGGCATGGGAGGCTTAGTTCCCTCTCTGGGAACACAGAGTCTTAATCATTGAACCACCAGAGAAGTCCTCCCACTCTTTTTGGGGGGTCGTTTATCTGCCTGAACCTCCTTTTAACCTTCAGGTTTTTTCTGTGTACTCCCCGATCCCTCAGTCTGTAGCCTCTCTGGTTCGTTTCTTGCTGACTCCTGACAGTGAGGTGGGTGTGTCTCTTGCAGCAAACCCTGTATGAGAAGTGGGGAGAATACAGGTCCCTAATGGTGCAGGAGCAGCGGCTGGTGCATGGTGAGTAGATCAGTGATGTGAAGGGCCACTTGTGCCCCTACCTATACCCCCATACCTGCTTCCCCCAAAACTAGTGGGTTACTTCCCCCTCCAGGTGAAGAAAGGTTTGCCGAACTACTACTCTGGGTACAATGCTGCCCTGAGCTGGGGCCCACATATTTTCATTTTCACAATAGTGCCCTGAAGGAAAGTACTACACAGAATCATCTCCATTTTACAGATGGGAACACCAAGGCTCCAAGAGCGTGTTTCAGGCCCCTTTCGTGACTCTTGTGTCATAAGCAACCCTCATAAGGATCTGAGTGTATAATTCGTGTTTTACAGACCGGGGAAGTAGGGTTCAAAGTTTTGGCTTGCCCAAGGGCCACACTGATGGTCAACCAGAAGGGGCGAGGCCCCCTATCCGTGCCCTCTGACGCCCCCCGCCCCGTGTCTTCTGCCCCCAGGTCTTGTGGTGAAGGACCCGAGCATCTATGACACGCTGGAGTCGGTGCGCTCCTGCCTCTACGGCGCGGGCCTGCTCCCGGGCTCGCTGCCCTTCGGGCCTCTGCTGGCCGCCCCGGGAGGCTCCCGCGGGGGAGCGCGGCGGACCGGGGGCGACTCGGACGATGCAGTCTACCACACGTGCTTCTTCGGGGGCGCTGAGACGCCTGCGGCCCCGCCGCCGCCGCCGCCGCCCCTCGTGGCAGCGCGCTCTGGACTGAGGCCCGCGAACAGGCCCTGCGCGGCCCTGGCCTGCGCAAAACCAAGTACCGCAGCTTCCGCCGGCGGCTGCTCAAGTTCATCCCCGGACTCAATCGCTCCCTGGAGGAGGAGGAGAGCCAGCTGTAGGGGCGGGGGCGGGCGGGGGAACGTATTTATTTATTTATTCTTTCCAGCCAGTGCAAAAAGGGGGCGGGGGCGGTCGCTCGGCCGCCACGGGGACCCCAAGAGCCCAGAGCAGCGGGAGAGGGTCCTTGGCAACCCCAGCTGGTCCTGGCTAGTCTCTGCAGAGTGGTGAACCCCAGCCCCAGGCCTCTACTCGTCCTCCCCCAAACTACACTGGGAGGTGGGCACAGGCGAACCGGAGAGTTCGGGGTTGGGAGAGGTTCGGGGGCCCAAAATGGGACGTGCCGTCCTACATCTGGGTCAGTAGTGCCTTGTGGGGTGTCCAGGAAAACTCCTCCTCCAGGTGGGGGGACCCTGTCCCACGAAGCCCTCTCCTCAGCTTTACTTGCTCCCCACCCTTGGCCTTGCGGATAAATGGCCTCCGCCCGGTCATTCCCCTGCCCACCCCACACAGACACAGTTCCAAGTATCCAGTGGGAGCCTGAGGGGCCCAAGGTGTGGTCTCCCTCCCTCTCAGCCTTGACCCTTAAGGGCTTGGCCCCCCTAGGGGCCTGTAACTAAGTGGGGTCCTCCTGGGCGGGGGTCCTGGGTCCTCTGCCCTTGGGAGATAGGAATGGGCACATCCGGGTGGGGTGAGGCAGTACAGACTGTTCCACCGTTTTGCATATTGTTGCTTCTGAACCACAAACTGTATAAAATGGACGGTTTTTTGCATCTGTGTCAGTGTGGTGACTGCCTGAGGGGGAGGATTGGGCTCCAGCAAGCTCTGACTCTACCACTCCGCCCCTCAACACACACACAGACACACACACACTATACTTTACATCTTATTTGCTTGGAGCCTGCAGCCAGGGAAACAGACTGGGGGATTCTGACTTACATGTATGGGCCTGAACTAGAGGCCCCACACTGCTTCAGAACTTGGGCCTCTTGTTTAATGCATCTGGAACTGCCCCCTCCCCAAATACCACAACAGGTGGGGTCGAGGTTTCTCTAAATCTAGCCTTGTGTAAACAACTGTTTGGTGCTCTTTCTCCTAGGAATCTGGGGCCTCCTGCATAGGAGTCCCTAGCCATCATCCACCCAACCTGTGACAAGCCAAATCACTGGTCACTCGTTCTAGAACTCCTCAAAGGTGTCCCATCACTCCCAGAATAAGATCCTAATTCCTACGGAGGCATATCTGACCCCTGCCTGCCTCATCTTGCCTCCCCTCTCGCTCCCTGCTCCGGCCACCTTGCCCACAGTACACTTCAGGTGTCCTGCCCTCAGTGTCTCTGTGGACTTGCTCTGTCCACAGTTGGCGCCTTTGGTATGCAGCATGGCCTCTCCAGGGCCCTCCCATTTGGTCTAAAATATGGCCGAGCCTTGTTTTATTTGCATCATATTACTCATCCGCATCTGAAACTGTCTTGACTTGAACAGGTTTGGGTTTTTGCCTGGCTCCCCTCCCCACAGGCTGAACACTCTTGAGAGCAGGACTCTGGAGCCTCTCCTGTCTTACTGCTTTATTTCATGCTCAACACTAGCACATAGTAGAACCTCAGTAAACACAGTGTGTGCTCAAAGCGTCTGCAAAAGGTGGTCACCACCTTCTTTGAGGTGACCCAGGGCAAGTGAGCTGTCTAGGGGCCACAAGTAAGTGGCAGAGTAGGGCCCAAGACTCGAGCCTCCTGTGCTAGCAGTGGTCCTCCGTGGCAGTGGCCATCATACAAGGGTGCCCTTGAGAGGTCTCAGTGGCACCCTCCCCCAGGCAGGCCACCTCCTATGCTCGCCTTCCTGCACCGGGGCACTTGGTTCCTGAAGGGGCTCCTTGCTTCCCCTCTCACCCTCGGACCATCCTTTTACACAGCAGCTGGGGTGATCTTTCCAAAAAGGAAATTGGGTCACAACCCTTCTCTGCTTAAAACCCATTATGGCTTCCCCTGGAATTAAAAAAAAAAAAAAAAAAATCCAAACTCTTTATCATGTTATCCAAAATCCAAACTCCATAACATGTCCCTCTGGGAAGACAAATTAGGAAAAGGCATCCCTTCCTGTGGGTTGACGGCAGCCACACAGACTGAACAGTTTGGCAACTGTGAGCCTCCGTGCAGTGCCCAACCTCTGCAACTGTACTGGGATGCCCTGCACGAGGCTCTCTGGGATCCCGGCCCTACCCTTTTCAAGCTCAAATTGTTTCTCCCTCTATGTCATTTATCATATTTAAGCCACACTGCTCTTTCTGATTCTATTCTCAAATATGCCAAGCTCTTCTGCCTCTGGCCTTTGCCCATACTGTTCCCTCTGCCTGGAAGAGTCTTTGTAAGATTGATGCCTCCAACCTCAGATCTCTTAAATATCACCTCCTTGAGGAAAAGAGATTTCCTTGATCTGATCAAAAGTAGTTCCCTGTCCCCATTATTATTTATCTTGAGACCTCTATTTTTTTTTCTTTATAGCATTTGCTCTCAATTGGTAATTATACTGACATCTATTGTATCTGCCTTTTGCCTTTCTAAGGCAGGAAAACTCAGCTGTGTTACACTGTACCTTCAGGGCCTAACACAGCCTGGCACACAGCAGCGGCTCAAGACACCAGAATGTCCCCTGGGGACCAACCCTGCACAGGGGTGACCACCACCTCCGCACCTCTCAGTCCTGGAAGGTGGGGTGGAGGCCCCTCCCCTGCTCCATCTGTAGCTGGCATCTCTGTACCCCTTTCACCAAATCCCTTTGGGGCTGGGTGTTGGCTCCAGCCAGGGGCACCTGCTCCTGGCCACCCTGCCCTCCCTGGTCCTGGGGAGGGAGAACATTTGATTAAGAAAATGGAGCTTCCCCAAGCTCCCTGTTTGAACAGCTGCTCTGCTGTGATGACAAACAGCCGCTCCCAGGGGTTCAGGTCTAGGGGAGGGGCCCTCTCACACCTTTGTTCCCAGGGCCCCAGGCTGCCAGGAGCCCAGCTGCCTGCGCATCGCCTAGCACCTTCCTGGTGTTGGGGGGCTGCCAGGGCCTCCCTGACTTTCTCCTCCCAGAACAGATTCCCAGCCCCTCTCCTACCAGCCTGCTCCCCACTCCCCCACCCTGCAGCTAGTGTTGGCAGTGATGTCAGTCCCCCTCACCCAGGCTGAAGGGGGCTCCTGACTGGCCGTGTGCACCCCGAGGAGGCTGAGGAGGTGCCCAGGGCGGGGCTGGATCCCACCTCTCAGCTGATGCCATGACGGTGCCGGCACAGCAGCCTCCTGCCGTGTAGGTGGGTGACGGGGAGTGACTAATGTGCGAGCTGCGATGCTAAAAATTAACCCAGGGATCGTGTTTGGTGGAGGGGTGGGGGTGGATGGGAAAGAAGGGACTAGGAATATTGTGTGGTCGGTATTCCCCCTGCCCTGCCTCCCCTCCTTCACCTCCCACCAGCCTTCTGGTCCTCTCAAAGCCTCAGGGGGCTCTGCAGGAGCCCCTCCTCCCCAGGCCAGGAGGGACCCCTAATAATTTCAAGGAGGAAGAGAGTAGATGCCACTCCAGGCCTCCTGCATGGTAGTCTGAGGACACAGCCTTGCAGACGGAGTTCAGATCTGAGGTCCTCACAGAGCCGTCATCTGCCCCATCCCCTCAGTATGGGGGCTGTGTGCCCCGGAGTCCTCTGGTTCATCCCCCTCTTTCCAGGCCAGAGCTCTGCCCAGGGGTGGCAGGGGGAGCAGAAGCAGCCAGTGCACAGAGACAAGGGCAGGTCCCTGCCAACAGGCTGGAGCTGGGGGACAGTGGGGGTGTCAGCAGTCCTGAAGGAAAGGACAGGAGTCTGTCTCCCAGAGCATCACCTAGGAACCAGCACTGTGCTAAGCATGTCCACATCCGTCACCTTACTCAGGCCTCACAGCATATCTGACAGCCCATTCTCCAGATGAAGAAACTGAGTATTAGAGAAGATAAGGTAGCCCAGCTGGTACTTGCCTGAGCCTGCATTCTCTCAGATCCATCTATCTCTTGAGCCTAGACTGGGGAGAGGGATGTTTTCTGGAGGAAGGAGTGTGAGGACGGGGTCAAGGTGGCAAGGAACCATTTTGAGGAGCTGAACCTCCAGAGCTGTGGGCCTCACTTGTGGGGAGCAAGGTGGGAGCCTGGAGGGTAAATGGAAGGTGGAATCTGAGAGAGCAGGAGCTGAGGTGTGCCAGGCAGCAAAGGGAGGAGGTGATCAGGACCACAGGATCAAGGGTCCATGGATTTGGGTGCTGTCCTAGAGTTAAGGGGGGCAGAGGAGCTCTAGGAACTGGGTTCTAGGAGTCACAAAAGGAACTTGGACTTAGAGAAGAGCTTTGTGGACAGACACAAGAAAAACTGTCAGAAGGAGGGAATCCATAAACACTCCTGTTTTCTCTGGAGACAAAACCAGAGAACTTGAGCTGAACTTGAGCAGGAGGGGAAAGGTGAGACAGTAGAAGACACTTTCTTCTCACCAGTCCATTACTCACTCATGAAGCTGCGGAAGTGAGAGAGGCTGTGGGACTCTTCAAGTGTCGGGGAAAATGTCAGGCTGTCACGCTGGGAGGCTGCCTGGTCCTGCATTGAAGGCTGGAGGGGATGACCTAAAGGATGGAGTGATGGGTCAAGAGAAGTGAGAGAGAAAAGACCAAGGACCAGGAAGGTTCCTCATAGAATAAAATAGATGAGACAGAAGCTGGAAAACAGGTGTGCCTGACCCCTGGTGGTGACCTCAGAACACTGCACCTCTCAGCCCAGAGCTCCCCAAAGGCAATGGGGCAGAGTGGCAGGGTTCTCTCCTCAGTTAAGATGCCCTGAAGGCAGCTCCCCATCTTAGAGCCCACCTGCTCAGCCCTGCCTTCATGCTCCCAAAGCGGACCCTCCTTGAACCTCAAAAACCATCTGAAGCTCTCTGACACCCTTGCTGGGGCTGGCACCGAGCAGGCATTCAAACACTGGAGGCAGGTATGTCTGAACGAACGAACGATGAATTCAGAACCTATAAGTCATCCAACTCCACTGATTTCAACCAATTTACCCTCTCTGCAGGGCACACCAAACACTGAACTCAGGCCTCCCTGAGGTACTGACATCTGTGTCATCCTCCGGGAGCTGAGGTCCTGGGCCTCCCATCTCCCACTTCATGGTGTAAGTTTGGGGGTGTAAGGTAGCTGCTCCCCACAAACTGGGAGCGCTTGGAGAGCAAGGAGAGCCCATCTATGTCCCCACCTTGGCTGGAGTGGGGCATAGGGACACCACACAGGTATCCAGGACCTGCTGGCTGACTGGGTGTAGCTGATGCTCAGAGGGGAGGGGAGCGGACAGGAGGTGGGGGACAGAGCAGGGATTCATGTCTAGCCCAGAATTCGGGGTCAGCAGCGGGAGGTGAGACCAGTGGTGGTGCTGGGGGGGGTGGGGGCGGCCCCATGAGCTGTCGAAAGCCGACCTTCAAGTTCTGGGCTTGGTTGCAGTGGGTGGGGGCTGGAGTGCCACTTTCGGTGACGAACTGGAGTCAGCTGGGCACTTCCACCCTGAAGCTGAGAGGCTGAGGGCTGAGTTGCGGAGGCAGGTCCCAGCCTTGGGGGTGCAGCCGCCATTAGCTGAAGTGGGGGTGGAGATGGGGATTCTGGCTTGCGTTTGGCTGGGAGCTGGGAGGGAAGCAGGTGGTAAAGCCTGAGTGAGTAACCGCCTCCCCGGAGCAGCAAATCTTGCTGCCTCAGGAAGCCCCACAGACACGCGGCACCCTGTCCCCCGCCCAC